TGGTCCTCTTGGCTGGAATAGCACGGGTGACCCTAGGGTCAGCTTTAGCTGCGATCAATGAGGGGTGCACGTCCATGAAATTCAGCGAGAACACAGGATGCTTCTGCCCCACTAGGCAGAAAAGTGTGGGTGGCTTGCGACTAAAGCCGTTGCGCTTCTCATCTTTTAATGGTTGGACAGTGAGGAAGAGCGGCGACGCTCTCGTGGATACTGAAGGGGGTCGGTTAATGCACACCGCCGACGGAGATGTATGGCACTTGGAATATGGACTAGGTTGCGGAGCAGGTGTTATTAGAGAAGATCAGCTGTTCTGCGGGAAAAAGGCAACCAAGAAAATAAGTCAGGCCAAGAGGAAGAAGGCCGGTCCTTAGGACAAGTCAGGATCTGCCGGCAGACAACGCGTCCAACCCGCTACATCAGACCAGTAGCAAGGCTGACCTTTTAGGAAGTGCTCAAAATGCTAGAGTGTTGGGGACTCCCCACTCTAGCATTTTGAGCACTTCACCGCTCTCCGCTCCTCTACTCTATGCAGTCCCCAGTGAGGACTGCCTAGAATAGAGGAGCGGAGACGGATGGTGCACTTGCGGATAGGCAGTGTGGTATCCCCGGCGTGGATAAAGGATACCAGCTTCGCTATAGGGAGCGAGATCCAGGAGGTGGTAGATAGAGTCGTAGAGTCCAGATTGAGCAGATAAGGACCATCTCTAAGAAGTATAAGTGGCTACTTGCGCAGGCCTGCACCAGTGCAGCACGGAAGCATATCCAGGACGCTATTCGAGATAGGACGAACAGGCTGTGTGACTAGGCCGAAGGGATTGGTCTTGACGCAGGGGTGCGGCCGTCAACCCAAACTCATAGCACGGAGGCGGGTAGGCGAACTGTGGCAGACGCCGGAGACAAGAGGAATAGTGCACTAGTGTCCATTGGACCGTTGTCCTCATATGAGGACACTATTCGACCAATTTTATTCTTGCCTTGCGCTTCCTCGAGAAGAAAGAAAAAGATACCCCCGCCACCGTCCTTGACTTCTGAGTTGGGGACAAAAAGTGCTTGGTGAGAATTGCATGTTCTTCCTGGTCGTTTGTAGATACGTCTGGAAAAGAATCTTTTTTAAAGCACCTCAAAACTGCGTGTAAAATAACTTGGAAACCAAAAACGCCAGTTTAAAAAGGGAACTAAAGTTTATATACTCAATCTGCATTACTGGTCTGGCGCAACAGGAGTAACAAAGAGAGGGTACGTCACGGCGAGGCATGAATGGACGTTAATCTGTTGAGCAAGGTTTCATCGATCCGAGGAACAGAAGGTGGACACACAGAAACCGGAACAACCAACCAACAGACGGGCCTCCGCAGTATCCGATAGGCACGTTGAGGCTGGGGGAGGGGCGGTCTCTGACGGCGATCGTAACGCGAGTTTATGCGGCGGACGTGTGAGAAGGCGTTGACGCCTTGACGTTAACAACGGAATGCGGAGGGGGCGTGCGTAGGCCTTGCTGCCGTTCCACCCACTCGACAATCGTGGAGGCACTCTCCGCCTTTCCACGCCTATGATACTGTAGAGCAGACGTGGGCAACATGCCTTTCCACAGAGACAGCCTGTCCATCCCAAAACTTTCCAAATTTCTACAAGCCGGAGGCCATGCCCGCCTGATAGGCGGCCTCTTGTCAGATGCCTTTTTGGCCCTTAGCCGCCCTCGCCCCCGCGCCACCACCTCCCCCTCAACCCTTGTGTCATCGCACCCAACCACAACCACACCAGTCCCCGCCCTTCATCTATCCGCCCCCA